GTATGTATGTGAAACCGTGGAACTCAGCTAGTATGTTATATACCCAAACATTCCCTGATAAATACGCATTTAAATACCGAAAACTCATCTAATTCGAACATAATTATTATCATATTACTGACGTAATCCCCTATCCCGTGGAGCCCTGGAATCTTTCTCACCGATTGAAACACAACACTACCAAAAGGTTGTGTTATTTTACTGTGATCTCCTGTAAAGTGGAGGTTGCTTCCCCATATGGGTGCTCCAATTCCTACCTCGCATAGCAATATTGTTCGTATTCCATTTTACATACATAAATTGCTATTGATTCTTTCGTAAGCTATTTATTTAGTCTTACAGCTTGACGGCGCAAGTGGTTAGCGCGTTCGTTGAACTTAAGAAACTTTCGCTGTGGTCGGTCATTGGATGGGTGACCAAAAATTACTATCTCGAGCTCCTCCGTGCTTCGGAAGGCACGTTAAGCCGTTGGTCCCGGCCGCATCTGTAGTCGTTAGCACCCACCAATCCGCACTGGGCCCTCGTGGTGGGTCATGGCCCAATCTCCCTATTCCATCCATAGGGAAGGCTTGTGCCCCAGCAGTGGGACATTAATAGGCTGATGATGATGGTGACAGGTCGTAATCTTTTAATCAGACAAATACCTACATATTATGTTAATTTGATGTACCATTAAATAAATACATTTTATAAATTATGCTTTGGGTACATTACTATTTAAAATGACTTTGAAAGTGCTCTTGCTGCCCTAGGAATATATTCTGAAGATCAACAATAACGTCACCTATAGACATTTCAACCCACTTTATTATTTTTTAGCAATCGTATTTATAATGAGGAGACTCCGTGATAGAATATCTTAGATATTTTACCTTTTTTATTAGTTTCAGGATAGAATATTAAAATCTTGTTAATTTATAAACTAAACAGCTATAGCGCCATCTGTTATTTACTTGTAGTAACATGTCAGCAGCAGCCGCTTTAACCTTTGCTTTCTCTACATGTGCTTTCCTTTCGCACGCTTTTTGCCTCTTTGTTGCGGAGTTTTGTTATCGTGGTTCGAAAAGGCATTGCTAGGTGGCGCTTTTAATGTAAATTGCATATCAGTAAAATAATGTTTTGATACTACTTTGATACTTAGCTTGTACATAACAGAAACAATATACGTATCATTGCTCGTTTGTTTTTTGGAGATTAAAATGAATTTAATAGTAATAACAAGCATTTATTCCAGACTTTAAATTCATACACAAGTGTTAGTAATTAACATGTTCGTAATTTGTTATTCTGTTGTTTATCTTAAGGATCTCATTTATAAAACTAAGTATATTTATGAGATTCTTTACATTGGACAGTGGAAATAGTTTCTTTATAATTTTAAGTTATGTCTAGATGTGAAGACCTGTAATTGGCTCTTTGTCGCTACTATTCACTTCCAGTATATTAAGATAGGTAAGCTGTTGGTCTTCCATGTAACCAAAATAAATAAATAACTTTAAATTCTATTAGCTTTCCCTTTTATGTACATTTTAATAACGTTATTACAATTTAGTAACTGGTAGTCCAGTAGTTTTTGTTGTTAAAAAGTTGCTAAAACAAAAATTTTAGAAATCATGATTTTCTGTAAATTGGATTCCTCAATAGAATAATCATAGTTAAAATAATAATAATTAAAAGCCCTGTGTTAATAATTTTAGTTTGGACTGTGATCAATTGAAAAACATAGGTGTGCCAACTGCTGACTTTGCCGTGAAGATACCTAGGTATCTAATGAAAAAAGGCGGTCAAGTGCAAGTCGGCCTCGCAAATGAACGGTTCTGTACCATAAGAACAGTACCCCTAGCACGAATCATTATCGAATTCGAATAGTTTGCAAACCGAAATGTCAATGTAAAATTTTGTAGTTATGGAAACTTGAACAGCAGCGCCACTTTGGACGTAACAGGAACTAAAAATCAGTACACATTTGACAATGACATTTCGGACTCGCAAACGTAACGAATTCGATTTTGGTTCGTGCTAGGTACAGTACCTACCCCAAGCATAGAATTCTAATAGTTTGCGAGTGCGAAATGTCAATGTCAAATTTTGTATGGAAACTTGAACAGCAGTACCACAGAGTAACACCAACATCAGAACTAAAAATCAGTACACATTTTGACAATGACATTTCGGACTCGCAAACTTTACGAGTTCGATATTGGTTCGTAGGGGTACAGTATTTAATTGTTTAAGTTGCAGAAAATATGGAAAAAGTTTTAAAATTTTAGTTATCAGTAAAAATTCGTTTCAGCAATTCGCGCCATTAGTAAAACAATTTTACAATAATCCACATTAGTCGTTATTTTTGTTATGTTAATTTCAAAATTTAAAGGAGATTGCTCAGCTTCCATACATGTTTGGCCTAAAGACCAATAATCATGAAAAATTGTTTCCTAGATTCGAAATTATATATAAATTACTGTAAAAACGAATATTATTGACGGACACCCCTGAGAACTTCTATAAACCATATACACCGAATATATTAAAATAATAAAAAACAAAAAGGTATATAGTAAACTAGGGAAATCAAGCCAAGTACCGAAATTATGGATTAGATTCAGGTATATAGAGCATGTAGCTTAACAGATAGTTGCCTGTTTTTAAAGTTAATGCATAAGAGTAACTTTTAAAATCGGGTGTCATTTCCGGTTATAATAAGGTACTCTGTGACAGAAACTGTATGATGATTGTGAATGAGCCACAGATTAGAGAGAATTTTTAAATTCTCGTTAACCAAAGAAAACTAAGAGATTTAGGTTCTATAGCCATATATTTAGTAGCTTCATTATTTTTGTTATGTTTTTAAGATAACCATATTTTAGATTTTTAGTGTATCACACCTTATAATTTTATTTATTTATTAATTTATAGTCAGGGAACGTAGGCCCATAGATAGATACCTTAAAGTCTAACATATATACAGATTATAATGTGTTTATGGAGGTGTTTGGCGAAAAATGTATGGCAATAGACTTTATGATGTCGCCTACCATCTATAATAATTGTTTGAGCACATTTGCATCTAGTGAAAATGATAATATAGTTGTGGATATTAATACCACAGTGTAATAAAAAAATGATTTACTTTATCCATCTTTACAAAATAGATTTGTTTTTATGTTATATAAACAACTTCGATCAGTCTTTGGCTGAATGTTACTACACCCATAGCCATTAAAAATGATTCGTATGCTTTTCAAACCGGTAAAATTAAAAGTCCTTTTTAAAGTAAATATATTATACAAAGGTGTCCGTTGAAATCTAATGACTGTAAATTAAATTATAAATTACGCCAAGAATTACCGTGTATGTCAATATTTTTTGTGCATTTAGGCCAATTTGAGCAATCTCCTTTGGAACGTAAAGAATCATGCCAGGATGCTTCAAATAACATGCCAATACATCTTCAAATTAATAAAACCTCTTCTTTTTAATATTAATTGAAGTAGAAAAAAAAACTAAAGTTGCTTTTTTTTTGCAAAAGAGTTTAGTTGATTACCAGGTTATATCGTCGCTATCATTTCAAAAAGTCGTAAGTATAAATAGGCTAGTTTAAGGAAACACAAAAACTGTTTTTTTTTGTCTGTGACACTTCGACAAGTTATTTTTTTTTAATGTGAGAAGACTTATTTTTTGTGTCTCATAAATAGGAATTCAAACTAGATCCTAGATATTTGTAACAATACGACCTTTTACAATATATTAAAATTAAAATTTTACATACTGCATTTTGAAATGACAGCGACGATATATGAGTGCCAATTTCATCCAAATCCGTTCAGTCGATTTTGCGTGATTGAGTTACAAAAATACAAACTTTCACATTTATAATTCAGATATATATAAAGAATATATTTTGGTAACTTTTGGCGGACATGTTTTAGCTCATGGAAGAGTGTGAGATAATCAACCGTTATTAAATGAACCGCAACTCTAAACTAAGGCCCGTATTACAGAATGACAACCAAGTGTTGATCTTTACTTGCGTACAGTTAGAAAGGGATATCGCTATGTGCTATATATAGACATCCCTTTCTAACTATGCTCAAGACTAGATCAGTCACTGAGAATCTTTCTATAATACGGGCCTAAGACTTCAATTCTAATGCTTTAACAAGCGTATGGTCCGCCTGAGCGGCCACCAACTATATACGAGTATATATAAAACTCAAAGGTGACTGACTGACATAGTGATCTATCAACGCACAGCCCAAACCACTGGCATGGCACCAATTTGGCATGCAGGTAGATGTTATAACGTAGGCATACGCTAAGAAAGGATTTTGATCAATTCTACCCCCAAGGGGATAAAATAGGGAATGAAAGTTTGTATGAAACTTTGTCAATTTTAAACCGATCGGGCTGAGACTTTGCATGCAGGTATAAGAAGAATCATAGATGAATGTCATTGTATATAATACAAGCTCAAGAACACAAACTGTAGTCTACACTTCAGCTCTACACCGAAGCGAAGCGAGGGCGGGCCGCTAGTATTCTATACACACTGGCGATACCAAAAGTATCACTTGCGTCGTTGTCTAGCCTGACCCGTGGAACCCTAATTCACCGTCAGTAATACCACCAAAACTTAGTCTCATTTTATTGTATTCTGAGTTTTATTTAATTAAAATGTCTCTCAAACAGTGTCTCAGTAATGTTACTTAATCAAACATTAAATTAATTGTTGGCTCCCCGCGTCACTTTTATTATATTTTAATAAGACTTAATTAAATCGCTTGTTTGACTGGACTTCAGGGTCACGTTAAGATTCAAGTTCAATGCCTCCACTTCATTCATCACTATCACTACACGTTAGCCAGCACTCCGGCGCATGTATCTCGCTTAACGTAAAACCACCGTTACGTTGACCCACTCTCGAGCCTGCTCGTATTTCTCGGCCAGTGTTCATCTCAATATTGCGGCGAAACCACGTCAACATGCTGTTCGAAAGCTTCATGTTAAATCTCTTCATAATAATTGTACTGATTGTCGCACTGACATTCGACTACGTCACCAAATTCTTCAGTTACTGGTATGTTAGGCTCATACCCAACAATACGCCTATTCCCTTCTTCGGTACCGATTACTACCGAGTTTTGGGAATCAGAAGCAATACGGAAGAAGTGAACGCACTTTACGCACAATATCCAAAGGAAAAGTTTGTCGGTGCCATCAAGAGTCGAATACCCGACCTCGTTGTTAAGGACCCGGATGCCGTAAAGACGATTCTGTCTACCGACTTCGCAGATTTCTGTCGTAGAGGCCACAGCTTGGACAAATCTCGGGATGTTTGTATGAGAAACAATTTGTTTTACGCCGAAGGTGAAACGTGGACCTTACTGCACAACAGTGTAGAGTCCATTTTCAACGATATGAAATATGACTTTGAAGAAAGTTTGCATGACCGTTTATCCGGAACAAACGGAGATACAAATGTTCAACAGTTATTGTCAAAGGTATTGGATTGCGTTTTTAAGGATATTCTATTGGATGGGAGATCGGATGAAACATTGATAACATGTGTCAGAACGGCCGCACAACGAAGAACTTTTATGGAGAAACTGAAGACTTATTTGAAGCACGTTTTTCCCTCACTCTTTGTATTATTCGGCATGACAACAATACCGGGCGAGCCATCATCCAAAACAAAGAGGGAGCTAGAAAAATCCAAAATTTTGAACAAAATAAGAAACTCCAACATCTATCCGTTGAGATCAAACGATAAACACAAGGGGTCTTCGAATGATATTGAGTTCGCTTTCGGAATATTAGCTACTTTCATAACGGAAGGTTACATACCATGTTTGAATCTTTTAACGGCATTGTTCTATGACTTGGCTACAAACCCAGAAACGCAGAGTAAAGCGCGCTTAAACGACGAGTATTTGAACGCTGCGATTAAAGAAACACTAAGGTTGCATCCTCCATACTCTGTAATTTCTAGACAGTGTGTTAAAATGTACCATTACCCGGACAGTAAGTTGGTTATGGATAAGAATGTCACCGTGAATGTGCCCGTTGAATCTATTCATCGCGACGAGAAGTATTACAAGAACGCTGAGACATATAATCCCGAAAGATTCTTAGGTGGAGAGAATTTGTCGCATAGCTTTGCATATTTGCCTTTTGGAGCCGGTCCAAGGAAATGCTTGGGTAAGTTGTTTCTGCCCTTGTTTCGGGACGTCGTTTACTTGTAAAAGAAATCTGAAATGCATATAATGTTTTATAGTTAAATAATTTTGTTGAATATTCAGTAAATATAAAAGTATATATAGCTTAATAAATGAAAGTCGTTTTGAATGGGTCAGTATTTTTGACGTTTCGCAACCTTTTCAGGATGCGTCGTCAGAAATACTGAAATATCAAAAATACTGTAAAAAAGCATCATATCTGTTCAAAACGTGTTTTATTAAATTAGTGGTAATGGTATTAGTGGCACCTTGGGGAGATATGGTTTATGTTACAAAAGGCTGCAATAGATTAACACGATTCTAGGGAATAAAGAGAAAGATGAAATGAAATGAAAAATCTTTATTGGCCATCTTATATACAATATAAAAACCTACTAATATAAACAGAAAAAAGAAACTTAACCTAAGAACAAAAATTAATCATTAAAACTAAGACGTCCAATCAGGACCCTGCCTCAGCTTATGCTGATATATTGTGAAAATATTCTCTGGTATTCTAGCAGGGCCTGTGCGAGGACGTGTTGTACGTGAAAGATAAAGCTTTCCAGAAGTTCCACAGGGTAGAAGATTGGGTCAAGGTAGACAGCGTATGAGTGATAATGACTGATTTCGTAAGCTTTGAGCTACGGTGAACGCATCATAAAATATGTTAGTTTTGCATAAGGAAAGAATGCTTTGCGTTATTTTCGCTTGAAGCTACTCGAATCTGTACAGTCTTTTGGTCCTTGTGACAAAAAAGAAAGAAGTTAAATTGGTTGCATGAACATATAAAGTTATGTATCGTCAATACTTTCTTTTTACTGTTCGACAGCCTTTAAACCTGTATTTTGAAGTATACTTTATGGCTCTATTGAATGGGCTTACAACTCGTAACGGTTGACCTCCATCAGATCACATTAGTAACAACATATGGGAAAGCTTTTGTAAACATTCCATTCTTGTCTGTATCTAAAAACAATAAAAATTATAGTACCTATTGCTATAACTTTGGTTGTTTTGCTTTTCAATGATAATAATTAGATATCTTCTAGATTCAATACTAAGTATGTTTCGAACCTTCTTATTTAGTTCAATGCAACGCGTTTACAACTATAATTTTATCTTTTTTTTTCATAGTTTTATTTAAATTTTCAGGTGAACAATTGGCATTACAAATAGCCCGGAGCGTTACAAGAGCAGTGTTAAATAATAACGAAATAGAACCCACTAGAGAAACACCGGTGAAACTGAATATGGTAGACCATAATTTCAGCAGGATGGTCAGCGAAGACGTTTGGTTAAGATTCAAGCCGATCAATGCAATGACAAAATAAGTCATGAACAGGTCAACAAACAGGAACAGTCATAACAAAATAACCAAAATAGTAAATTTTCTCCGACTGGAACCTTTTTAGTTTTATATTGTAATAATATTCATAACCGATTGGGATCATTTTACATTCTATGAAGTAATCATAAGCCCTAGACAAGTGGTATTGTTTCTAATTTACTTTAACTTTTGTAAAAATTTGTTAATATTGGCAAATATTAACTTCAATACTTTACCTAAGTTGTACGTATTATAAATATATTTAAAGGACTTGCTACACATATTTTTTAAGGTAAGCATTCGCTAAAAATTGTAATGTTTATTGAAAGGATTACTTAAATTTTTTGTTAATATGGACAGCAAATTTTGAACACTTCATTGTAGAATGTATTTTGACGGTTTTTTTGAAGAAAAAGCAATTTTAACAAGTTAACCAGGCCAGTAGTTTAAAAGATAAATAAAACAACCAATATATTAGATACTTATGTACGTGCGTTGCGCAGGTACTTGATTTGCTTATTTTATTGTGTGTATTTATTTTTGAAACATACACAAATTTTTAGTTAACTTTTAAAATTTAAGTTAGTTGTATACAAAAATGTGATGGTTTGTTGTTAAAATTAATATAAGTGTTAGATGGTATGAGTTTTCACGATTACTCAAACGCGATTGAACAAAGTTTCACAAGTGATACTAACTCACTCAAACCTTAGAAATTATAATGTACTTATTTATTCAAAATACAATATAATGTTGCTAATAAGGAATCTTCCTTTAAATGATAATGACAAAATATAAATAAATGATGAAATTGAGATTTTATTTTTCTTTTTACTTATCTGAAGACAAATCATCTGAGATAAGTTAATTTTAGCATAACTTATGGACCTATTATTAGCTGTTGTTATATGAAATCATGTCATTGGCATTATATAAAAAATGTATAAATGTGCCTAATATTTCAGAAAACTGCTATTAGTTTTCTTAAACAAATATCTATATATATAAAACTCAAAGGTGACTGACATAGTGATCTATCAACGCACAGCCCAAACCACTGGACGGATCGGGCTGAAATTTGGCATGCAGGTAGATGTTATGATGTAGGCAGCCGCTAAGAAAGGGTTTTGATCAATTCTACCCCCAAGGGAATGAAAGTTTGTATGAAACTTTGTCAATTTTAAACCGATCGGGCTGAGACTTTGCATGCAGGTATAAGAAGAATCATAGATGAATGTCATTGTGTATAATACAAAACTGTAGTCTACACTTCAGCTCTACACCGAAGCGAAGCGAGGGCGGGCCGCTAGTATTATATAAAATAGTCCATCTGTTCGTTTTGTAAGAAAATATGTCGGTCACCATGATGGTTTTCATTCAAGATTTTATTCGTAGAATTGAGATTTAAGGGACCCTCGCACCAAAATCAATACATGTGACAATGTCATGAAGGTTGGTAAAAAAATGCGAGGGCACACAGAGGTGTAGAAAATATTTTTCATAGCTGCTGCCTGATAATGTAGGCTGTCATGAACGACCCTGCCTGGTAGGGTTACCATAGTTTGTAAAGAACTTGTTGCTATGTTGGACTGCAAGTTGAAGAAAATCTTCAGTCTCAGCTGTTAACGATACTTGCTTTATTAATGTGTTTGAATGGGTAGTGTAGTTTTGGGTAATATTTTTAAAAGTGAAATGAAAACCAGTTACGTCGTTTCTGTTATTAATATTCATATTCATCTATTGCATGTTGTTATATACATAGGTGTTACAAGTATGGTTAGGTTGCAAACAAGAGCCCTGTAAGGGCACGGCAAGTTTATAGATATAGAGATTATTATTACAATTAAAAATTTTATACAAAATTAAATCTCATATCTTATTAACATTATTTATAAATTAATAGTAACAATGAAATACAAAAATTGCTTTGTAGTATACATCAATATTAAGGGTATATTCTTGTTTTCTTAGCCATATTGTATTTTCTATTTTTACAGCTGTAGAAGATATATCAATAACACATACTAGGAAATTGTCAAAGATCTTTTTGAGTAGTCTGTAACAACTCTTGAGACACAGCCCGTTAACAGAGAGTTCCGTTGTTGTATTTCGAAATGAGTTGAAATTATTTATTCTGCCTTGTCATTTACAAGCAATACCTTTTTAAACTTACCAGCATTTTGCCTTCAAGTGTCGCAACCCGAAAAAAGCTTTACGTTTAAGTATTGCCTCCCATTCCTAATCCCCCTTTTTACAACAAAAGCATTGCCTCTTAACTGCTCTGTAGCTTGTTTGTATCTAAAATCACCGCATCACTTGCGCTCGGCTAAGCGACTAAAAAAACATAGGTACAAATTTATATCCCGGATTGTCCGCTAATCCAGAAATTTACGGTGAACGTAAGCAGAGTCGTCCTGATTTATAACGCCCTTAGAGCCTGCAACTTGGCCCTACATCAGTATCGCGTGTACTGTATAATCCAACCAAATGACGGCGTAAGCGGCAGAGTGGATTTTTTCCCTCCGAAATCCTTCCTACATTAGTCAGTATAATATTTAAAAAAGTCTGAATTCATGTAATATGTTATTGTCAGCTTAACTCTTTGTTTTTCTTGGAATATGATACTCTGACATGGGACTTGTTTGCATGTGCATTGCGGCAAACTTGTTTACAAATATGGCACATATAACTCATTTATATTATATATACACACATCAAAAGTGTCTAGGGATCAAGCATTTTTATGCGGATTTCTTGAGATTGAGATGTGGCTTTGTAATAAATTTATGATTTTATAAATTTATATGGATCCTTTTTGGTGCATTTCATAATTTGAATCAGGAACTGTGAATCAAATTCGAGTAAAAGATGAAAATCAGCTGTCAATATTTTCCCTATAAAAACATACAACGCATTGAAGACATTATTAGTGCTACTGTTTCCCTACTACTGATTAAAACCAACGTTATTATGGAGCGGCGACGTCATTTAAGCAGGGAAGAAATGCTCAGAGCCGTGGGAATGATAGAAGCTGGTTCCCGGCAACGTACTGTGGCTTTAGCTCTGAATACAAGTCAGAGTGTTATCAGTCGACTTTGGACACGATACCGAAGCACTGGTACCGTGGCTGAGCGCCATGGAGGACGGTATCGCTGCACCACACGGAGACAAGACCGATACATTCAAATCTTAACTCGAAGAGCTCCAACAATAACCGCCATGATGTTAGCCGTGAGGCTTCATCACTCTTCAGGGAACTTAATTAGCGACCAAACAGTCAGAAACCGCTTGCATGAAGTGAACCTTCATTCCCGAAGACCGCTACGGGTACCACCTATAGCAATGCACAATCGTCTGATGAGTCTCGTTTTGGTATGAGACCGGATACAAGACGTATACGACACTGGAGAACCCCTGGACGCCAACAGCGATTAAAATCCTGGCAGGAAGTCCATCCTTATAGTGGTGGAACCATCATGGTATGGGCGGGTATTTGGATCGGCGGAAGAACTGAGTTGATTTGGATCAGAGGCAACCTCAACGCTCAAATTTATGCTGAGACGATTGTATCAGACGTCATCGTTCCTCTACAAGTGCAAATCGGTCCCTTATTTCAGTTAATGCATGATAATGCACGACCGCACACCGCAAGAGTTGTAAGACAGACTCTCGCCGCAGCTAACATCAATGTCCTGCCCTGGCCTGCTCAGTCGCCAGACTTGAACCCGATTGAGCATGCATGGGATATGCTACAGAGAAGAGCTCTGCCGAATATGGAGGGTATCCAGTCGCAAGAAGACCTTTTTTTGTTGTTGCAACGAACATGGGCGGCCATTCCACAGCGTGATTTGGATGAACTCATTTTGAGTATGCCAAACCGATGTTCTTGTGTTGTTAGTGTTCGCGGTAGAAATACGGATTATTAATTGTTTAAGTTACCCAATAAAATTTTAGAGAAAACTGTTATTTCAGTCTTTTTTTCGAACTTTTGTGTTAGTGGTTCAAATGTCAAAAATCCCTTTATTAGGAAAATGGCAAATTTCTTTATTAATGCAAAGGTGACTTGGTTTATCGTTACTGTGACAAACGAAAACACTTTATTTGATGAATCCTTAAAGAAAATTTTAATTAATATCAATCAGGAGAAAAGTTATTGCAAAAATATATGTTGATCCCTAGACACTTTTGATGTGTGTAGTTTTGTATTGGTACGTCAGAACGTTACCTTCCTTAGTTATTTTCATTTAACCGAAACATGTATTATTGTAAAATAAAAGACTATTTGTTCGTCAATTTCAGTGTCCTTAACGCCCAACGTGTGGGAACTAGGTCGGTTTTTATTTCATTTCGTATTAATAGAATTTCTCTTTACAAGCCAATAAGAAATAATAGGACTTGACACAGACTTTTGATGTATGTTGAAACGATAATTACCGGTGTTAATAGTAATTGTTACTACGTATACAGCAAAGTAATCAAAACTACGAAACGTGAATAATGCACGACCGCTTAATAAGATTTAAATCAAATACATTTGAATTTAATTTACCTAACCTACTTTTTGTTTCATTTCGGATGCATTATAACTTTGTAACGTCGTTGATATAATTATTTGAGTACGTTGTGATTTTAAACATGTCATGAAAGCAAATTGCCTGTCAATTAATTATGTATAAAGGTAACTAGCTGTGCCCCGCGGTGTTACCCGTGGTTTATTAGGGATATTTTCCCGCAGTAAAACGTAGCCTATGTGTTAATGCAGGGTGTCAGCTAACTCCATACCAAATTTTATTAAAATCAATCCAGCCGTTTAAACGTGAAGAAGTAACAAACATACACACTCACAAACTTTCGCCTTTATAATATTAGTGTGATTAAAAGAAAATTTGGTGTTATCCGCAGCTAACCAATGTATCGGAAATTATCTTTTTTATTAAATAGCTGCTAGGTAAAAGCCAATCAATTGTGAAACAATGTGAGTACGTTTTTATCGAACCTGTCAGA